TGTGTGTGTGTGTGCGCGCGCGCGCTGATCATCGTCTTTTTTTCCTCTTCCAAAAGGGCTCGGCACTTTGGGTGGCCAAACACGTATGTCTTCACAAAGTCCATGGGGGAGATGATGCTGGGCCAGATGACGCGCGGGGGCCATGTGCCGGTCCTTATCGTCCGGCCCAGCATGATCACAAGCGTCCAGAACGACCCACTCCCAGGATGGATAGAGGGCACCAGGTTTGTTCAAATTCATACACAAAATTCAAATACGTTGAAGGTCGAAAACACGAGTTTATTGCATGTTTCAAACTTTGAAATTAAACCGTGCAGGACGATCGACATGATCCTGATCGGGTACGCAAAGCAGAGCCTATCGTGCTTCCTAGCCGACCTAGACCTGACCATGGACGTGGTAATTCATTACTATTTCATTCATCAAACCTAGAACTACTACTACTGTCTTGCTCTGCTGTAAGTAATGAGCTGTACTCACTCTATTTTCAAACTATGACCATTTGTATATATCAAAGTACATGGACTGAAAATATATAAATGGTATGATTTTATTTGTCTTCCCAAACAATTTTAATTAATGTATTTATAGTAATTTAGTAGGCATACTACAAGTAAAAATCAAAGTCAAAGTTGTATGATGAAGAGAAAAAAAGTCGAACACGGCTTATATTTTGGGAGGATGGAGTAGCACATCTGCTGTGAAGCTTGCCGCGACTCTATGTAGTAGTACAGGGCAAGACCATGCTGCGGTAACTTGCACATACCTCTAGCTGTGACAACAACAAGGCCATGTGTTTGCTGCACCAAGTTGCACTGGTGGGTTGTATAGCCAGGCCCGGGCAGGGTCTCTGGATCATTGAACCTAGCAGTACTTATAGCTGCATGTTTAATTCATTGACATGAATAATTCATTACTAGTTACAGTTAACCATAGCCAATTTCCGTCATATATTCTGCTACTAGATTACATTCCCGTGTCCATCAATTTTGAAATGGTGTAGATGCCGGGCGATATGGTTGTGAATGCAATGATGGTGGCCACCGTGGCGCACGCCTCCTACACGCAGTTATCGAGGTCGGAGAAGAAGCCGCATCAGCAACCTCAGTTGGTGCTGCCAGCCGCATTGCAGGTGTACCACGTGACCTCGTCGCTGCGGCACCCGGCGCCGTATGCGGTGCTGTACCGGACAGGGATCCGATACTTCGAGGAGCACCCACGGGTTGGTCCTGATGGCCGCACCGTCCGCACCCGCAAGGTGCGATTCTTTGGCAGCATCACAATGTTCCACCTTTTCATGGTGCTCAAGTACCGGCTACCGCTCGAACTCCTCCGCCTGCTCTCCATCCTCTGTTTCGGCCTCTTTGGCCTCGCCGCTCTCTACCAGGACCTCGCACGCAATTACAGGTATAGTCTAAAATATGATTTCTTCCCCATTGTGCCATCTAGATTTTCAACCGTTGGCTATTCAACATGTATGTTGCAGGTTGGTGATGCAGCTGGTGGACCTGTATGGGCCCTTCTCGCTCTTCGAGGGCTGCTTCGACGATGTCAACCTCAACAAGCTCAGGCTTGCAATGGCTGACCATACCACTATGACCAGCCCACTGTTTAACTTTGACCCCAAGACGGTTGAGTGGGACGAATACTTCTATAGGGTTCACATCCCTGGGGTCATGAAGTATGTCCTCAAGTGATGGTCCATTTGCATCGATGAAATGGATGCTAGCTTATTCATGCATACGTTGTGTTGTCTTGCCTCCTTTGTTCCGTGGGTATTATTATTGGAGTACTTATTTTATTGTTATTTTCAAAATTAATTTAATAAGTGACAAACTGGGTGCAGCCCTCACCATGTAACCACGTGAGCTACTTGGTTTTCAATAAAAGGTGCAAGTTGTTTGGCACTTATACATTAAACAGGCTGACAAAAGCTATTTTGCTTAAGTTTTTGCCTCTGCTGCAATACTTTATTGAGATGTTACTCTTTTTTTCACGCTTTCTTTGGTGTGTGTGTGTGCCAAGAGTGAGTTCTGTTGTGCATCGTGCGCGCATGCATGTGTTTGTTGTGTGCATTATTTCATATGGGTCAGTGTGTTGGAATAATCTTACCCAATGCTAGCCTCCAGTATGTGGGTCCTCATGTTGGTTTAATGAAAATTGTAGCAGGTGACTATGAAAGTTTTAGTACAAGAATTTTTTCGATGTATTCATCAAATAACATGTCTGTACAAAGAAAACATGAAAAAAATACAAATTATATCCACATTCGTAGGCCACCTCACAACAGCTACAATCACTGAGGTGAGCCGAAGGCGCGCCACTATCATTGCCCTATGAAAGTAGGTGCGATGAAACTTCCTTCATGACAACAAACCCTAGCATGAGGAGGAGACTATTTTTCACGGGCATTTTTTACTCCGTCTGATACCATATAGAGGTTAGTTAGGCATCCTCTATACGTAGTGACCTAATTAATCGGATTAGTGAGCTGAGGTGTTGGCTCTACTTAAAAAGGTGTGTGAGCTACAAGAATAGGTATTTAAATTGACTTTGGGTATGTTCACTTAATCGATTATGGAATGCGCTGCCATAGACCTCAGCCAAATATTATCACCTACTCATGTGCATATTGCAACATGAACAAACGGAACGGACGATGTTGAAATGGGTCGTGCAGTAGGTTGATGGACTGAACATCCACACCCTAAATGAAGGTGTAATACATATGATATAGGTTAAGACATAATGCATTGAGAGTGTCCTTAGGGCGATTGAGTACATTATTGAAGTCCACTCGATCAATGAACAAGAAAATAACGCATTGATTACCCCCGATTTAGAAAATACGGATGCAGCTAAGTTGCATGCCAAACTAATAATACCAAATAGGGGACCTGTGTGGAGGACCTAAGTGTTCCTTACGACTGGCGCTAAGGCTCGTTTCACGATTAATATGTGTCTGCTATTAATTTCTTTTATACCTTGGCATGCGCCATCCTGCTGCTGCGAGGAACTGTCCCGACGTTGGTGTGTCACGATGGTGGACGTTTTAATGGACATGTCAACTAGTGTTTTCTTCATATGGAAGCATGCGGCATTGTGTTTCACATACAATTCACATTAATTTATAATACACACTTATTTTTCAAGGGCACACTAAATTTCATCCATTGCAACACACTCGCATACGCCACTATATGGAAAACAATAAAAGCCAACTACCTAGAATAATTAGCTATGGCCCAAGGTTGAAAGTAATCCGACTACTACACTCGGCATCAAGGGCTCGGTTTACACCATGTGAACAACCAGTTGTAAGACGGCTGTTTTTGTGAGGTACTCGATATTATACAAGCCGTGTGCTATATCCTGTACTTGCAGCATAAAATCCTTTGACGGCTGGCCTGTGTTACCACCTGTGGATGAGGCACCAAGGTATAAGGTGAGTCTGCCATTTGAGGCTACTCAGAATCGATTTCTACAAGAGTCCCCATGGGGCTTCCACATGGCACCTGGTAAGCCGAGTGACAATGGGAGGACTCCAAGCTTCTAGAGTATTGATAAGACATATATGCCGTGTGTCTTCTGGGGCCTACTCGGCATGTAGATTGCCGAGTGTCCGGCTGTCGCCATATATCTCCGAAAGTCATTCCGAGGGTCTGCGATGTATCCCGGCCCTATAAGCTGAGTAGGAATACCTCCTACCCGGCTTATGCCTAAACTGATGCCATTTTGGTATTCATGCCCAGATCATGTCACGTGGCACATAAGCCAAGTGTAAACAAAGCACTCATTTATAAGCCGAGTGTACCATTCGGCATACTGTCTAGTAGTTATTTCCAATTTCTTACTAAAGCAGCCATGCAATTCAGCACATATATATACACACATACTCCCTCCGTCTGGTGAAAAGCATACATATAGAAATTTAGGACAAATTATGGAGTGAAGTAAAAAAATGCACTGGAAAGGTGGAAGTCACCATCTCTCTACTCTTTAGTTAATTACCCAATCCCCAGTGAGATAAGTGCATGTAGAAATTAAGGAGACCTTGTGTAGTATGTTATTGGTCTTGATTACCGTGTGATGATAGAAAAGCATTTTTTCTACCTTAAACTGCATTAGAAATATAGAAGTATACTCTTTTGTGGACAAATTTTAAAGCCAATCTTACACTCTTCACCGGATAAAGGGAGTATATGTTACTATCATCTTAATGGTGTGATGAGGAGGTAGTGCAGTGATAGAAGATATCTTCATCCTTCCATGACTTTTGATAGGCGTTAAACGGAGACCGTATTTAGCCGCGTCCACAAGAAGACTCTTAATATTGCTGCCTTTACCTATAATGCAGAGGAATGGTGATGGCATGCGTGATACGTAGCTGCGGCATCATGCACATATCTATAATGGGTTCCACCCACTTGTAAAAACACAAAAATGATTTGTTATCTGAACCCAGAATTATGTATTCACATAATTAAGTAACGTACATACTAGTGGTGAATAATGTATTCCCTGAGAACACCTTAGCCCTATTGCAGATTTCATCATTTTTGCATTACACTCTTGTTGTTTAATATATTATGTTTAATATTACTGCATTTAAATTCTTATTACAAATCTCTTGCAAAATTCCCACACTCACACGCTGTTGTGTGAGGCCACATTTACTTGGAATCATATTTCAGTTAACCTTTGTAAGAAGCGAGTACCCACTAGTAGAAAAAGGGCCTTCAGTCCCGGTTCATAAGGGCCTTTAATCCCGGTTCTGGAATCGGGACTAAAGGGTCGGTACTAATGCCTCTCCCTTTAGTCCCGGTTCAATCCAGAACCGGGACTAAAGGGCGCGGCCATGTGGAGCTCCACCTTTAGTCCCGGTTGGTAACACCAACCGGGACTAAAGGAAATTTTATGATTTTTTTTTTGAATTTTTTTTTCAAATTTCTGAATTATTTTAACCTCTAGTCTGTAATCACCACCCCTCATCACTTCTCAATTTATCGTCTAATCACCCCTCATCATTCCAAATCATCTAACTTCCCGAACGATCACCCATCCTCCCACTCCCCCAGCCTGAGCACGCTTAACTTCCGGGTTCTATTCTCCCTCGCTCCAAGTCTGCACTTTGTTGTTTTCCTGACAATACTAAGATGTCAATCCTATTAACCTTCAGGAATTTTGCTTGAGCATGAAGTGAGACATTTCATAGTTTTATTTTGAAACTATTGTTTTAAAAAACAATAATTATTTAGTAACACTGATATTTCTTGAATAATTAGTTTGACCATTGTTTGACCACAGTTTGACCAGATTTGACCAAAATTGAAATAACTAAAATAATTATTTAGTAACACTAATATTCTAGAATAATTAGTTTGACCATTGTTTGACCACAGTTTGCCCACTGTTTAAGTTTTTTTCAATTTTTTTCACTCTAGATCTTAAAAGCCCCGTAACTTTTTTTCTATTAGGTTTTTGAGGATTTTGAAAATGTTTAACGGGGTTCCCCCGATTAAATTCGGATGTAACTTTTCGAGTAGATGATTTTTCATATAAAAAACTTTTTCATCCGAGTTAGTATGCAAAAGTTATGCCCATTTTTACAAATTTCAGAGAGATTTTGCAAATAAAGTCAAAATTCACATTTGCAAATTTTCCCAACAACTAGACCATATATCACATGGGAAACTTTTTTTCTTTTATTTTTTTGACATTTCCATCATTTTATTTTATTTTTTAAAACTGAAAAGGCGATCCACAGGGGGGGGGGTAGAGTCTGAAAATGAGACCTTTAGTACCGGTTTGTGGCACGAACCGGGACTAAAGGTCTCAACCCCATTAGTCCCGGTTCGTGCGTCAAACCGGGACTAAATGTCTAATCTTTAGTCCCGGTTTGAGGCACGAACCGGGACCAATGGTTGTGGGCCAGGAGCGAGGCCCATTGGTCCCGGTTCATCCCACCAACCGGGACCGATGGTTGTGGGCCAGGAGCGAGGCCCATTGGTCCCGGTTCATCCCACCAACCGGGACCAAAAGGTCCAGATGAATCGGGACTAATGGCCCACGTGGCCCGGCCGGCCCCTGGGCTCACGAACCGGGACCAATGCCCCCATTGGTCCCGGTTCTGGACTGAACCGGGACTAATGGGCTGACCCAGCCTGTACCAAAGCTCTATTTTCTACTAGTGACCATTTCATGTGCTTTGAGAGACCATCTACGAAATGAGTACCCAACCCCCTTGTGTTTCCACTTGATAGTTTTGGTAATCTAACTTATCCATATAAAGTAAAAAATAAGGACCCCTCTG